ACTTCCCAACTCATGTGAATGTGGCACCGATTTTAATGAGTGGACGGGAATATGTCACCTCACTACCAAGCATAAAAACTTGTGCTTTGTACCAAGCATATTATTCATTTTTATCATTTTTTCAAAAGTTATTAGAAAATGAAAGGTGTTAAAAGTTAATTAGTTGTACCCTTATTTTCCCGTTATTTTCTAATGTCAATTAAGAAGACGTACCCTTATCTTCCTGTTATTTTCTAATGTCAAATAAGAAGAAATAGAAAACAAAGTCACATTTCAATTTGGTTCTTTTACTTTCTGAATTCCAAACAAACCCTAAACCTAAACCGGAGCTCTATATGAAATCCTTTCTATAGAGTACTTCACAACCAAACCAAGCATCCCCGTAACGTGAAGTACCACACAAATTAAAGCCCTCCATGTGTCGCGTGTTGGTTTTGGAAGTGTGAAGACCGAAACCTACATCAAAATAAGCCAGGAAGTCGAAAAATCCAACATCGGTCGACCGACGAACGTGTGCCGGTCGACCGAAACGACTGCAGGAAACCAAGCCCAGAAACACGTTTTGGCCGGTCGACTGAGCAATGGCACTGGTCGACCGAAAGGCTCACCAGAAACCCTATAGAAAACAGTGTTAGGATTTTTAGATCTCGCAAAAACCCCGAAAACCCACCAAACGCAGCAAATAAAACCACACAAGATTTAACGTGGAAAACCCTTAACAGGGGAAAACCACGGGATCAAAATCAATCCACTATCACCTCCAAATTACAATCTTTTGCACAGACAAAGACTGTCAAACTCTCTCTCACACAATACCCTTGAACCCAGTTATACCCTCTAAAATCTTGATTACAAGAATATTGTCTCTCTCCTTCTCTCTACACTTCTTAGTTTTTTTCTCCAACGATAGAAGAATATATATAGGGAAACCAAAACCATATCTCCAGCCTAACTTCCTAATTAGAATAAGATTCAAATTCCTAATCATGATAAAATCCAAACTCCTAATCATGATAGATCTCTAACCCTATCTAATTCTCATAAAGTTATACAAAAATTAAAAACACAATACTAACTTGGAGTTTGAGTTGATACCCAACATATCCTCCCTCGATGAAAAATCTCCAAGTGTCTCAACGGCTTCAGAAAAACTCACTCTCTTTATCTTGTTCTTCACATCTCCCTTGTGGACAAGAGTCTCAAAAGAGTAATCTACACTATTAACAGATCGCCCATCTAAATAGCAAATATGGTTGCTATTCTTCCTCCCTCGCAAAATCAAATCACCATCTCTATACACATTGTACAATTCTCCTTCACCCACATACTTGTACCCACATGATGTCATCTCACCCAACGAAATTAAATTAACACCACATGACGACACATATCTCACATGATAAAAAATTCCGACCTTCCCAGTGTGAAGCTTGAGGCGAATACTTCCAACACCTTCATTCTTCATCTTCTCGTTGTTTCCAACAATCATGTCGTCAAATTCTTCATCTGTCTTCAATCTGCTAAAATAATTTTTGTTGTTGAAAACGTGCATAGAGGCTATAGAATCTAACACATAAGTGTTACTCGCATCAGTACCTGTACTCTGCATTAATAACACCACATCTTCATTACACATAACCACTGAGGAGTCCGCCTTCTTTTCATTTTCTTGAAGCTTCATCTGTCTAATACTCTTTAAATCATCACGTATCTGGGAACATCTGAACTAAATGTGACCATTCTCTCCATAATAATAGCACTCCCTTTCGCTATCATCTCGGGCCCGAGATTTTGACCTTCCTTGATAACTGTCACATCTCCTATTACTCCTCACTCGATTAGAACCTTTAAAAGCTAGTGCACTCTCACCACCATTATCGTCTGAACTAACAGCTTGTAAGATTTCGGCAAGGAAGACAATAGGAGTAGCATCTGGTCTTCTTCTTTAATCTTCTCATCAGTATTCATAAGTTAGTAAACTAGCTGATTAAAGGCATTAATATGGTCTTGAATTGCAGTACCTTCTTCCATGTTTAACAAATAAAGCTCCATCCTCAAACACAATCAGTTGGCCATCGACTTCAACGTATAAATCTCCTCGAGCCTTTCCCACAGCTCCCTTGGTGTAGTCTCTTGCATAACATTGTACTTGATCTCGGGGGCGAGTGCCAAACGAATTGTGCTAACCGTCCTCTTTTGTATAGAACTTCATTCAACATCCTTTAATCTTTTAGGTTTCTTATCCTCTAAAGCTTGATCAATACCCTGCTGTATAAGAATATCTTGAACCGTGTATTACCATATTGCAAAATTTGTCTTGCCATTGAATAGTGAAATATCAAACTTCGGACCCGAAGAAGTCATCATCCTCTAACCACAATCAAAATTCAAATCAGTCACTGTAGATATTGAATTTGATAAAACTGACATCAAAAATGAACTCAACATGTCGAAAAACCCTAGGAATGACTCATGAATCACCAAAATCCACCTCCAAATCCTCGATCAAAAGACAAATCAACCTCAACCGTCGGATCTGCGTGAACAGTGCCCGCTACAGTGCTCAGCTATCTGCTACAGTGTGTCGCTGCTGCAGTATCACGACCACCAATGCCCTTGCAAATCGCGATGCTCGAATCTTCACGAACTGTCTAACCACACTCTAATACCACTTGTTGAGATTTTTAGATCTCGCAAAACCCCCGAAAAGCCACCAAATGTAACAAATTAAATCACACAAGATTTAACATAGAAAACCATCAACAGGAAAAAACCTTGTGATCAAAATCAATCAACTATCACCTCCAAATTACAATCTTTTGCACAGACAAAGACTGTCAAACCCTCTCTCTCACAATACCCTTGAACACGGTTATACCCTCTAAAACCTTGATTACAAGAGTATTGTCTCTCTCCTTCTCTCTACACTTCTTAGTTTTTTTCTCTCCAACAATAGAAGAATATATATATAGGGAAACTAAAACCCTATCTCTAGCCTAACTTCCTAATTAGTATAAGATTCAAACTCCTAATCATGATAAAACCCAAATTCCTAATCATGATAGATATCTAACCCTATCTAATTCTCATGAAGTTATATAAATAAATAAAAACACTATACTAACTTGGAGTTTGAGTTGATACCCAACAAATAGGATTTTGGCCGGTCGACCGACGCCAATGCACCGGTCGACCAACGCTAATGCACCGGTTGACTGGCGACGATATTTCCTGATTCCCAGTTTGTTAAGGAATCTGTTTTTTGGGCTGAGCTCATATATATTTCCTAAACATTTTAGGGTTTATATAACACGAAAAAGGGGTTTTGACGGTACTTTGAGATCAGAGATCTTAGAGAGAGAGAGGCCTATTGAAAGTATTATAATCCTCTTCAATTAATCAAAGTTTTTGGTGTGGCTCCCGAGAACGTAGACATGTTCATCGAACCTCGTTAAATTTGATGATCTATGTTTGATTATTTTTTACCGCAAGTTTTTCTTTTATTTGCTGTGATTTCCTACTTGTTTACTTTCGACACAAGATCCGGAAGGTCACGGGTTGTGTTCAACCCCAACATCACGGTGGTCCATGGCTCTATAGCACTACGTGTATGCTTTAGGCGCTTGTCATCACCTTACTCGTAAAATTGAGATCCTTGTATCTATGCTTGGTATATCTTAAAGATCATATCCTAAGGCTCCCATGCTCCTGTCGGCAACCATCTCCTTTTGTAGTGCGCCACTGAGGTTTGGAATTGGGAACGTCTCTTTTATCCTTGTATTGATAAAAAGAATCCATTTGTAGCAACATCCCAATAGAAAAGATGCATAATATTATAGGGAAACTCTACACAGTTGGTAACCCATGAATCATCCAAAACTAAAGCATCAATAATTAACAAAAGTTCAATTGGAATCTAACTTGCTTACCGTTCTTTAGTTAGGGTTAGAGATTTGATTGTTGCCTTTTTAATAGATAAAATGGATCACTTTGACTTTTGACACTATAGATGAGGATTTGTCACGTGATGAGTTCTAACCTCCAGTTCAAGCGGATCACATCGTACGCCAAAAAGTAACATATATAAGGGTGGTGGCAGATCCATGATTTATGGAAAGTAGTGAAATTAATAATTTTTAAAAATTAAAATGGTGGCTCGAATATTTTTCATATTTGAAAAGTACATAATTGAACATTAGTGATACTATCAACTACATCTTTCTCAACATATGCATCTCTAAACAGTTATTGAACCAATCATCTCTGTTATTAACAACCTCCTAAAGTTCAGGGGGTTTTGTAGAATTAACCTGATTTAATACTTTTGAGGATATAACGATAATCATGTTATTCAGCGAATATATCTATTATTAGAGTATAAAAATATAATCCTCAAACTCGTCGTAACTTTGGAGTTTTGTTATAATTGTTAGAGTGACTCTAAGATAGTATTAGAGTAGTACATGTTCAAATCCTGCCAGCCACAAATTTAAATCAATTTTTTTAAAATAACACCGTTGCTGTGTTAGTTCAGGTTTGGGCCCATAACGAAGTTATGGCAAGAACTCTAATAGTTGTGAAGTAGAATAACTTTTAATTTAATTTTATATATTATATGTGGAAGTTTATAAACTAAAGAAGGTTTCCCACGTAGCCATGAGTATATAGATACAACTATCAATAGAGTTTTTTGAGTGCATATGCAGCAAAAGAGATTTCATGATCATTAGTTAACGTAGCATAACATGACAGCTTTGATATTTATATAGCTTAAAACCTATATTCATAAGCGTTTTTAAAACATGAGGTTTTTAAATATTAGTCCCTTAAATCATAGATATTTTGATATTAATCGCTTAAATTTTTACACTTTGACATTAGTCTTTCAAATATCATTATTGTGATGTTAGTCTCAGTAGTTGGTATGATAACTTTGTTGATCTCTAAACATTTTATCCACGTCAACCTCTTTTCACTTTCACCTTCTTCAACAAAAAGAGGAATATAATCTAAATATTTCCATCAAAAGAGCAATGAGCTCTTACGTACATAATGAGTACTATTCAGAAATTCAAAACACACTCATATCTAAAGCTCATCATCTGTGGCTTCTCCCTTCATCGTCATCTTTATAATTCTAAAATCACATTATTCTCCTCCTCCCTGTTTTATTACACAAATCACAGCAACAAAAACTCATTTATTCCCCTCAACACAATCAACAACAATAACACGTTTATGAGATCAAAGATTCCAACATCCCTTGTAGAATCAATTTTTCACTATGCCACCTCGAGCACACTACCCAACAAACCCTCAATGAGATCGCGGTCTTAGCTTATAGCCTCGTCGAGAAAAATCCCTACAAAATCTCAACAAACCTTCAAATGAGATATTGGATTGAAACAATGAGCAGAGGAGGAAGTTGCGCAACAGGGAAGAGAAAGAAATTGGATCTTTGGGGAATTAAAACAAGAGTTATTTGGTAATTACCCATACATGATTGTCAATAATCTAACCATGGTTAAATGATTTGAACAGAAAAGTTAACAGAGCAACTAATATCAACACACTAACGCCTCGTTTGGTACGTGAGAATGAGTGGGAATAGAATACAATTCCAACTCTTTATTCATGTCTACCTAACACAATGTATCTTTAGATGCTAGAATTACTATATCCACTTCTTATCAATTCCCACTTTATGTGGGAATTGTCATTCCCAACCATTTAACAAGGAATTAACGCCTCGTTTGGTACGTGGGAAAGAAGTCAAGTGAGAATGGAATGGAAAAAGGAATGGAATGAAATGTATGAGAGAATGGAATGGTTATTCTCATTCTCTTGTTTGGGTGCGTTTGTAGAATTAACGCCTCGTTTGGTACGTGGGAAAGAAGTCAAGTGAGAATGGAATGGAAAAAGGAATGGAATGGAATGTATGAGAGAATGGAATGGTTATTCTCATTCTCTTGTTTGGGTGCGTTTGTAGAATGAAGCTAGAATGAAAATCTAATTCTCATTCCCATGTCTTGTTTGGGTGCGTTTGTAGAATGAAGCTAGAATGAAAATCTAATTCTCATTCCCATGTTTGGTATCACTAGTTCACAAGTGAGAATGGAATCTCATTTTCTAATAATGCCCTTATAACAACATAGATTTTTAAGAAGATAAAAATAAACATTAATGATAATAACTAAAAAAAATTATTTATGCATATGTTATATTAATCTAGCTATGTGATACTAATGCGCATGTTATCGATCAGATGTATGTTTTGTTTATATTTTTTAAACAATTCTCACTATTTCTGCATATGTTATATTAATCTAGGTATGTGTTATAATAATGCCCTTATACCTCTATATATAGTCTAGACATTATATGATTTTGATAATTTTAATATTTTGGCCAATTTCTCAGCGAGAGTTTCCTCTTTTCATAAATATTGGGTCAAATATTTTTCAATCAAAAGTTAGATTTATTGTTGTACATGAACCACAATCAAACATGTACGCAATGGGTACATATAGTTCTCTATAGTGGGAAAATAATAGCAAAAGTTCAAAAAAAAAATATAATATGCTAGTGAAAATAATAGACTTTAAACATTGGTGAATAAACAAAAAATTTTAATTGACCAAAAAAAATATTGACATGAAAGAATTTCAATCGGCAAATAATATATAGGTTGAGTTGTATCTGTTTTTATATTAAATTGTGTTGCTCCTATGTTAAGTAGTTGTGATATAATAGGCAAATAAAATATGTACCGCTAGTTTTAATATGTTACTGAAATAAGTACCACTAGTTTTAATCCCTACCCCACAAAAAATTCATATTGTTCGAATATAATTAGTAGCTGAGAGAAAATGAGAATACGTAGTCAAAAGCCATGATTTTTAAATTGATTCTTATTATTAATAGGGGTATAATTAAAAAAAAAATACGTAGTCAAAAGCCATGATTTTTAAATTGATTCTTATTATTAATAGGGGTATAATTAAAAAAACCAAACTAATTTGATTCTCCCCTTGAATGGGAATGATCATTTCCTATCTTCTCACTTGGAATGCACATTCCCATAAAAAGTAGGAATGACCATTCCATAGGAATGGTCATTCCAACATCTAAAAACAAGTTTTGTTTGGTATGAGGGAGTGAGAAGTGAGAATGACATTCCATTCCACCTCATTCTCGTGTACCAAACGGGGCCTACTATTCCCACATAAGTGGGAATAAAAATAATCAAATAATTTCTGATTATACCTTCCTTAAAAGATATGAATAGATATAAATTCCTATATGAATAATTATTTTTATAAAAAATATTATTAGCTACTAGTGTGAATATATAAATAGATATAAAATATTAAACTACTTGTTCGACGTTGCCCTAATTCCACATCGCGTCTACAGAAGAAAAAAAAAATCTCATTTTCGCCTCGATGCCACTTGGTAAG